AGTTGGTCTCAAGTGCTTTATCTTCAATCTCACTATTTCTGACTTCCATTGCCTCACTTCTGTTCCTATGACTTTCTATTGAGTTGTCTAATTCTGAAATTTTATTGTTAATATTCTAGATTTCTGATTGTTGTCTCTCTATGCATTCTTGCAGCCTGTTAAATTCATCATTATGCTCTTCTCTAATCTTTTTAATTTCCTCTATTGTGTGTTCTGCATTTTGCTTAATTTCCTTCCTCATTCTTGAAGAGTTCTGTATATTAAGCTTTTGTATTCTGCCTCCTGTAATTCCAAGAAATTTTCCTCCTCTGGAAAATTTCTAGATTCTTCATTTTGGGAGCTTGCTGAAGCCATCATGGATTGCCTCTTTATGTGATTTGATATTGATTGCTCTCTCCAAGCCATCAATAAGTTATTATATTTATTTATTTTATGTTTACTTTTTGTGTCTTAGCTTCTTGTTTTGTTTTCATGTGCCCCAATAAGCTGCTCCTATGAGCTAGTTTGATTATTGGCACCTTTGAAGCTCCAATGTCCTCTCATCAAGTGGTTAGATCTGTTACTAGGTATGTGAGCTCAGGAGTCCGCCCACTCTTCCTGTATGGATTTGACTCAGGTGCCCAGGTAGATAAGCACCAAGTGTGTGGTGTAGGCTCTCACTTACACTCCTAGACAGGCATGGGTGATTGGTGTAGGCACAGGCATCTGGCTGCAGCAAGGGACACACTCTAAGCAAGTCAGGAGGCTGACGACCACCCCTGAGAATCCAGGAGGAAGGCATGTCCCTGTTCATTAGAGTGTATAGGTGAGTGGGTTTTGCAGCTGTACTATGAGCACCCACTGCTGTTGGCTGTAAGGACTGGAGGCCGCCTCTTATTCATAGGCCCTTATCATAGGTGCCTAAGTGGCATGGGTGGAGCCACCAGTCCTCAGGCCCCTGATGTGGTTAGGTGAAGTCCCTGCTTAATGAGCAGAGCAGTGTCAAATGTCAAGGACCTGCTACTTCACAGCTGAAACATTTGAAGTTAGACATCAGGTATATAGCCTGTTGTACTGCAGTAATGAAGGCCTACACTGCTGAAATGGGCCCCACACAAGTCTACGCAGGGAGAAAGGCACTCAAAGTCCTTGGATCCCTTATGCCTGTGCCTAGGCAAAGGAACTGTGCCTAATCTGGGTTCCTGGCTTATGGGAGCTGGCAGTTTATTTTTTTCCCTTATTTGTTAATTTGTTCACGCTCCTTGGCAAGGTGAATGGCTCCAGGCGTGTGATGGATCCTACTTTCAGCCCAGGGGACTCAGCAATTGCTAAAGCTGGTCCGGGACCCAGTGCAGAGCAAGGAGCAGGTAGGTAAATGGGAGAGAGGTTTTTCCCTAAGGGGGGTGTTTTTGATCTGCACAGTAGGCCGTGCACAAGTACTTATCTTTCGACTATCGAGGGCTGCTTTTCCCTGGTTCTGGGTGGCCTTGTAGACTCTCTGCTGTCAGGTCTCTCCCTGTGTGGAAAACGTGCCTCTAGAACACCACTGCTTGCCTGTCTCACCGCTCACCCATCAGCTGATCAGGCCTGAAGGGTTCAGGCTTTTGTCAGGTCAGGTCTGGCAACTCCTCGCTGCTTCCGAGCTGTCTCTCCCTCCCCCTGCCACTCAATCCGGTTCCTCAACTCTGCCTTTGATGTTCAGGGTTCCCAGATTGCTATATATAATTCACTTGTTTTTTTTCAGGTCTTTGTTGTAAGAAGGTCCACCGGAAGTGTCTGACTACTCTGCCGTCTTGACCCCACCTCTCTACCTTTAATTTTTTAATGCATCTATTAGAAAATTTAAAATTAGATGTGTGACTCCCGTATTTCTTTTAGACAGCACTACTCTATAGGATTAATGGGCACTGATTTTTCTCAACTTAGACCTTGTTTTTCCTATGCCATGACTTTCCTGATATTTTGCTCTAAGATGTGTAACACCAGCTGTGTTGGGTGCCATGGTCTATTCCTTTTTGCTCCTCTGTTCACTGATTTGTATTGATTATGTTGGAGTTTTCCTCTTGTTACTGAATGCAGAAAAGTAACAGAGAATAATTGGCTCTAACCTGAAAGAAGATTATAGTCTGTTTATTTAAACTTTTTGAGAACTGGGCTTCTCATTTTTAACATGGATTGATAATAATTCCTACTTTCCAAGGTACGATGAGGATAAAAAAAAGACAATGCATTTAAAGACCTTAGCTAAGAGTTTGGCAGCTAAATAGTGTTAAAATTACTTTAGTTATTATCATTACATTATTATTGACATGATTAACCTTATATCTTGGAGATACTTCCTAGATGGTGGTAGTAATGGTATCATCATGTTCCAAAAAAATTAAGAAAATAGGACAAAGGTCCAACAATATAGCAGTGTATTTTCAAAATACTGACTCTCTACACTCAGGCTGGCTAAATAAATATTTCATGATTTCAGGAAATGTATGAGTTTAGATTTATCAACTTAAAATGGGGAAAGACTTCTTTAGAAGGCTTAAATTTACTATATAAAAGTTAAAAAATTACCAATAAAAGTTGAATAAACAAATTTAAAAGATACACTATATTGGGGAAAGTGTGTGCATTATATATAATCGGACAAATGTTTATTTTATTAAAATAATTTTCACAAATAAACAAGAAAAAAGACAAACAATCTTAAAGGAACTGGTTAAATGATATTATTAAGCATGCTACAAAAGCAGAATCACAAAGGGCCAACACATGATTGGAAATTGCAAAGGAAAATAACAATGAAATACATTCAAGTTATCTAAAATCTAGAAAGACTGATAGTAGTGTTAACCAAGACATGTATAAAAATATAAAATAGGCATATCCTTTGACTCAGTAATTTTATTTCTAGTAGTCTATAAGAAATCTAGCTAGCTAGCTATATAATGTTGAAAGACACGTTGGTTATTATAACTAAGAGGAGTAAACAATTTAAATATTATTAATAGGTGAGGCGTTAGTTAAAATATTTTACATCTATGAAGTTTCTGCAGGTATTGAAAAGGTTGAAGTCAATTCATATACATTGATATGAGTACATCTCCAAGAAACATTTTAAGTGAAAAAATAAAAATTATTACAGAAAAATACACATGGTACAATCCAGTTTACATAAGAAAATTGAGTAGATATTTATATGAATATCCATATAAAAGAACACAAATGTGATTGTCAAGATACACCCCAGATGGTCAAAATGGATTATTCTAGGAGCAGAGGAGGAAATTATGTGGAGATGAGGATAGTCAAGGAGAAATAATTTGTGCATATCTTTGTGTAATAATAAAAATATTTCAGCATAAATTTTAAAAATGAAATTAATAGCCACATATCTGTCCGTATTTTGCTTCCTTCCAAAAATCATCTATATTCCAACTGCATATGTGTGCAGCAAAGAAAATTTTAAATTTTCTCAAGAGAAAATGAAAGTCATTTCCATTTTAGAGAGGTTGGAAGTACTAAAATGATGCAAAATCCAGAGCCTGGACATTTCTGTGGATCCAAATGAAGAAAATCTTTCTGAAAACCAAACGGTTGTTCTCACCTTTTTTTTACTGACACCTAAACAGAAAACTATTTCAACAAATGTATGCAGTGCTGGAAGTGCTTACTCATCCATGCCAAGAAATCTGGAAGATGGCTACCTGGCCAACCAACTGGAAGAGATCCATATTTATGCCTATTCCCAAGAAAGTTGATCCAGCTGAATGTGAAAATTATCGAACAATATCATTAATATCACACATAAGTAAAATTTTGCTGAAGATCATTCAAAAGTGGCTGCAGCAGTATGTCGACAGGGAACTGCCAGAAATTCAGGCCGGATTCAAAAGAAGACGTGGAACCAAGGACATCATTACTGATGTCAGATGGATCCTGGCTGAAAGCAGAGAATACCAGAAAGATGATTATCGGTGTTTTATTGACTATGCATAGGCATGCGATTGTGTGGATCATAACAAATTATGGATAACATTTCAAAGAAAGGGAATTCCAGAACACTTAGTTGTGCTCATGAGGAACCTGAACACCGATCAAGAGGCAGTTGTTCAGACAGAACAAGGGGATACTGAGTAGTTAAATTCAGGAAAGGTGTGTGTCAGGGTTGCATCATTTCACCATACCTATTCAATCTGTATGCTGAGCAAATACTCCTAGAAGCTGGACTATATGAAGAGGAATGGGGCATCAGGATTGGAGGAATACTCATTAATAACCTGCATTATACAGATGACACAACCTTGCTTGCTGAAGGTGAAGAGGAGTTGAAGCACTTACTGGTGAAGATCAAAGACCACAGCCTTCAGTATGGATTACACCTTAACATAAAAAAAAACAAAAATCCTCACAACTGGACCAATAAGCAACATCATGATAAATGGAGAAAAGATTGAAGTTGTCAGGAATTTCATTTTACTTGGATCCACAATCAACACCCATGGAAGCAGCAGTCGAGAAACCAAAAGACGCATTGCATTGGGCAAACCTGCTGCAAAAGACCTCTTTAAAGTGTTGAGAAACAAAGACGTCACCTTGAAGGCTAAGGTGCGCCTGACCCAAGCCATAGTTTTTTCAATCGCATCATAAGCATGCGAAAGCTGGACAAAGAATAAGGAAGACCGAAGAAGAATTGATGCCTTTGAATTGTGGTGTTGGCGAAGAATATTGAATATACCATGGACTGCTAAAAGAATGAACAAGTCTCTCTTGGAAGAAGTACAACCAGAATTCTCCTTGGAAGGGTGTCGAGACTACGTCTTACATACTTTGGACATGTTGTCAGGAGGGATCAGTCCCTGGAGAAGGACATCATACTTGGTAAAATACAACATCAGCGAAAAAGAGGAAGACCCTCAATGACATGGATTGACACAGTGGCTGCAACAATGGGCTGAAGCATAGCAACGATTGTGAGCATGGCGCAGGACCCGGAAGTGTTTCATTCTGTGGCGCATAGGGTCGCTATGAGTTAGAACTGTCTTGACAGCGCTTAACAACAACACAAACAGCAACATTCGATTAAAAGAAAGAGTCTTGACACATTCTCATTTCCTTTTCTTTTATTGCAGGATTACAATTGCTATTCTTAGTCTCTTCTCAAGCTTCTAGTCCCTTCAAAAATGAAAGCTCTCTTCCTCACCCTTTTCATCCCTTTTATCTTCTCCTTCTCCTTGATTTCCTCTCTCTGTCTTCTTTCTTTTCCTTTTTTATCCTTTACTTTTCTTCTTCTGTTGAGCTTCTGTCATTCTTGTGCAGTAGTTTCTTAGATGAAGCCTACTGCTTCCCTTCCCCCACCAGGAAGATACTGCACAGGTGTAGCCCCATCAGAGCCACTGTGTGTCTCTCACCATGCAGTAGTACACAGCTGTGTCTCTCAGAGTAACGTGGGGCAGGATCAGGGTACTGGACTTTCTGCCAGTAGGGATGGTCAGAGAGGCCATTTCGTTGGTCACATTGTTATTCATGCCATGAATCACATACTCTGGACCCTGATGGGGAGTCTGTCGATACCAATATATATACTCACTTCCACCGATTGTGGAGTGGTTACAAGGCAAGTTTACAGGTTTTCCTTCAGTACTCTCCATTGAATTTGGCTGTGTGGTTTTAGCATCACCTGTGATACCTGAGGGGTTGAGAAAAAACAGATTAGCTCTTGGTTGTTAAATTAAGGTGCATCTAAAGGTCAGGAACACAGGCACTCCCAGAGCTCTCCTCTCTGCCCTTACCCCATATGCAAGTATTTTTGTGTGTGATGCACAGGATGAGAGAAATATTTCCGGTATTTATAACTGTGCTCCTCAGAGCTATGAGGCCAAAGATAAATTGCCCACCTTCTATGGCCCTTGGGATCAATGAACCCAAAGCTCCTTAAAGCCTCAGAGCTGTAGAATTTAGCTGTCTTTGGATATGGCCAGCCCATCACACAGATGCCAGACTTATAAGAGAAACATATAGACACAAACTTTTCAGTAATCTGATAAAGCACTATGGGAGAAGTGGAGACAGTAGATATCTCTCCTGTGTCCTTCAGCCACAAAAGTCATCCTTTCTTAACCCTAGAGCACTTACCCAAAGTTAGGAGAACAGCCATTCCTGTCACCAGCCTCATAGTTCAAGTGAAACCTGGGGTTCTAGGCTGGGGGAGGTCCCAAGCAACAAAGCAAGCAGCCATCACCAGCACAATCCCCACAAGGCAGCTTTCACTTTGATGTTCCCCAGCCAAGTGTCAACTAAAGACACAGCAACCTTTTGGTTGGTTCAGCCCCTACCCGCCGTCTTAAATTTAAGATTAATATTGTTTACCTTATGTCCAGCTCTAATACAGAGGGCTTAAAAGGAGATCATTTTCAAGGTTCAAACTCAAATAGGCTATATCTCAATTAGTAAAATCACTTACAAGGAAATTATCCATCCCTTATTCATGGTAGGAGTCTCTGGGTGGTGCAAACGGTTAACTCACTCTGCTGCTAACCTAAGGGTTGGAGGTTCGAGTCTACCCAGAGGTGCCTCGGAAGAAAAGCCTTGTGATTTACTTCCAAAAAATCAGCCACTGAAAACACTGTGGAGCACAGTTCTACTGCTACACACATAGGGTTGCCTTGACACGGAATCAACTTTACAGCAACTGGTTATTTATGATAAAGGCAACAACCACCACTAATTGGTGGTTTGATGCTCCACTGAGCTGATAGGAAATGTCCTTTAATCCAAGATATCTATTTTGAGCCCTGTACTGCAATGGGAGGAAGACAATTTCTAGCCACATTACCAACCAGAGCAGTAAATGTTAGAAGCAGTAATATATAATTTAAATTCAAAAGTTAGAAATTTCTTTCTGGAAAAAAATTATGTTAAGCAAAGTTAAAAATAAAATGGCACTGTGGGAGAAAATATTTGCAACATATGTCACAGAACTAAATTCATAATTGTATAATATTGCTATTCTCAGCGTGACAAGAAAAGAGAGAATTAGACCCCAGGCTAAAGCCAGGTCGGCTGGTACTCAGATCTCCCACACTGCCTCCTGGAATTACATCTCAATTATTTTCTAGATGGCATTGCTGGAGGTCTCTGGCCTTCAGGCAAGAAGGAATGAGTTGAATGGTACTTATTCTTATCCCACTTGAGCCCCTCTTTAACTCATATTTTCTCATCTCCATACCCATGTTTAGGGAGGAAATGCTTTGAGGATACTAAGGAGAAAAGAAGGGAAGGAAAAGACAGGAAGAGAAGATTTGTAAAGGGAAATGAAATAAAATCATTTTACAGAATAAGTGGAAGTCAACATGAAAAATTTTCTCTGGTTATTCTCAAAAGTGCTTATTAAATAAATAGAATGGAATAAAATTAAAATTACTCATTTTTCTCTGCTACAATAGCTAGGCTTGTCACTCCACTATGGCAACAAATATCTGGCTATTTAAAATTGAACTACTTATTAATCACTTCTGTCTTCATTTCTCCCCGTGCCAGGTCAGCTCCTTGCTATGTGTTTGGGAAAGGGCTTAGGGCCCCCATGCCCTTGAAGCTGGGCACATACTCAGCAAAAGGCTATAAAGTACAAGGCAGTGAAAAAGGATGAAAGTAAGTTCTTTGCACAACTCGATGACAATCTCTCCCTCCCCCTGGAAGGAGCTTAGGTTTGCAGCTCTAACAGCCCCCTCTTGTGACTGCATTGTGAACTCCTTTACTTAGAACTAGTCAGAAATGTTTCAAGAGGATTGTATCTAAAAATAGTCACCCTAGCTATACTACCTCCTTCTAGTGGTGAGGCTCAGGGGCTCTTCTTTTAGTGAAGAGCTTCTTATGGCAATGCTCTAAGAAAAAAACAAAACAAAACAAACAAACAAAAAAAAGCTAATTGTCCTCGAGTTTACTCAGATTCATGGCGACCCCATGTGTGTCAGAGTAGAACTGTGCTCCATAGGATTTTCAATGGCTGATTTTGCTAATGTAGATTGTCAGGCCTCAACGTAATTATTTTTAGTCACTTTGGGATTTTAGAACTATTTCTATGATGCTTTCTAAGTAGTTGAATTCCTTTACTTTCCTTGTAGCTTACTCTTCCCATGTTTGAAGGCAGCTGCCAAAGTCCACACTACTCACTAAGTACTTAATAATTATTTGTTGGATAAATGTATTAATTAATATTTACTTACAGCCTTACTGGAAGAAGTTATATGGAACAACTTTTAAATTATTCCAAATAAAAGTTTTTAATTTTCTGGAAAACAAATCCAACAAAAGTAGCCAGTGGTAAAGGTAAACACAAGATTACGTCTGTGGGCAAAATTAAAACAGAAAACACACCAACTCTCACTCCTCATCTTCCACGAAAAGAAAAATTCACAGATCTAGGATGGGGAGGGCTGAATTATGAGAATATGGCAGTGTACAACATAATGATCATGCCCGCTGAACGCGTTGCCATAGAGTCGATTCCAACTCATAGCGACCTTATTGGAGAGAGTAGAACTGCCCCGTAGGGTTTCCAAGGCTGTTATTTTTACAGAAGCAGACTGCCACATCTTTCTCCTCTGGAGAAGCCGGTGAGTTTGAACCACTGACTTTTCGGTTAGCAGCCAAGCGCTTAACCACTTGCCACCGGGGCTCCTTGATGGTCATACAGCCATACTTAATTGAACACTATCCACTGTTCATATCCTGGAGACCTGGTGGCACAGTGGTTAAGCGTTTGGCTGCTAACCAAAAGGTTGGCATTTCAAATTCACCAGCTGCTCCTTGGAAACCATATGTGGCAATTCTACTCTGTCTTGGAGGGTCGCTATGAGTCAGAATTGACTTAACGGCAGTAGGTTTGGTTTTGGTTTGGTTCATCTACTATGTGCCAGATTATAAAATAGCAATAGTAATTCAGTGCTAGTATAAATATATAAATAAAAGAAATGTAGGGATTGCTAAAAGAAACATGAAAAGTAGCAGTCAGTATGTTATCTAGTTACATTATACAAAAGTCAGACTAACATCAGAACTTTTTATCTTAGTGTTCATCACTGCAAAATTCAAATTGTATGGAGAATCCCAAACTATCCAGAAAAGAATAATTAATATTGTAGTAGTTTTTGGTTTTGTTTGTTTGTTTTTGTATAACACTTGCATTGATAAATAGGAAACCCTGGCAGCATAGTGGTTAAGAGCTACGGCTGCTAACCAAAAGGTTGCCAGTTAGAATTCACCAGACGCTCCTTGGAAACTCTATGGGGCAGTTCTACTTTATTCTATAAGGTCGCTATGAGTCAGAATCAACTCTATGGCAAGGTTTATGGGTTATTGATAAATAATTAACATACTGTACAGTTTACTCATTTAAAACGCACATTTCATTGGTTTGTAGTATATTCACAGAGCTGTGTAACCATCACCACATCAATTTTAGAACATTTTCATCTTTCTGAAAAGGAATCCATACCCATCAGCAGTCATTCACCATTTTCTCTCACCCACCTAAAAAGAAAAATCAAATCAGTTGCCTTTGAGTGGATTCCTGTTCATGGCAACCACCTACCTGCTGCTGCTGTTGTCAGGTGCTGTTGAGTCGATTCGGACTCATAGCGACCCTATAGGACAGAGTACAAGTTCTCACTAAGGTTTCCAAGGAGTGGCTGGTGGATTCTAACTGCCAACCTTTGGGTTAGCAGCTAAGTTCTTAGCCAGTGCGCCACCAGGGCTCCACCACCCACCTAAACGACCACTAATCTACTTTGTGTCTCTACAGTTTTGCCAATCTGGACATTTCACATAAACTGAATTGTACAATATGTGGCTTATTGGGACTGCTTCTTTCACTTAGCATTATGTTTTCAAGATACACTTATTTTTTTTATTGAGATGAAATTCACATGACATTAAATTAATCATTTTAAAGTGAACAGTTCGATGACATTTAATATATTTACGGTATCATGCAATCACAACCTCTAGTCTCAAAACATTTTCATCTCTATAAAATAAAACCTCACACCCGTTTAGCAGTTACTCCACATGGTCCCCTCCCTATCCCTTGGTGACCACCAATCTGCTTTCTGTCTGTCTGGATTACCTAATCTGCATATTTCGTATAGGTGGAATCATAAAATATGTGATCTTTCGTGTCCGGCTTATTCTTTCACTTAGCATAATGTTTTTAAGGTTCATCCAGTTAAATCCCATGTATCAGTATTTCATTCATTTTATGGCTGAATAATAGTCCATTGTATGCATGTACCACAATATATTTATGTATGTTTATGCATTCATTCACAGATGGACATTTGGGTTGTTTCCACCTTTGGGCTATTGAGAATAATGCTGCTATGAACATGTGTGTACATATAGTTATTGGAGTACATATTTTTAATTCATTTGAGTATATACCTAGGAGTAGAATTGCTGGGTCATATGGTAATTCTGAAGGAGACCTGGTGGTTAAGCACTTGACTGCTAACCAAAATGTCAGCAGTTCGAACCCACCAGTGGCTCTGCAAGAGAAAAGACCTGGCGATCTGCTCCCGTAAAGATTACAGCCTAGGAAACCCTATGAGGGAGTTCTACTCCATCCTGTAAGAATGCTGTGAGTCAGAATCAACTTGACTGCATGCAACAACAATGTGGTAATTCTATGTTTAACTTTTTGAGGAACCAAACTGTTTACAACAGTGGCTGAACCATTTTACATTCCCACTATCAGTGAATGAAGATTCCAATTTCTCCACATCCTCACCAACACTTATTTTACTTTTTTCTGATAATAGTCATCCTAGTGAGTGTGAAGTGGTACCTCATTATGGTTTTGATTTACATTTCCCTAATGACTGATGGGAAGAGCCCTGGTGGCACAGCAGTTAAGCACTTGACTGCTAACTGAAAGGTCGGCAGTTCAAACCCACCAGCTGCTCCATAATAGAAATATGTGGCAGTCTGCTCCTGTAAAGATTACAGACTTAGAAACCCTACGGGGCCATTCTATTCTGTCCTATGGGGTCGCTACGAGTTGGAATAAACTTGATCGCAGTGGGTGGATGGGTGAATGACTAATGGTGTTGAGAATCTTTTCACGTGCTTATTGGTCTTTTTTGGACAAATGTCTATTGCAGACTTTTGCCCACTTCTTTTTTTTTTTTTTAATTTTTGTATTTTAAGTGAAAGTTCACAATCCAAGTTATTCTTTCATACAAAAATTTATATATACCTT